AAACCCGTCAACTGCGCCTGGACGCGCCAGTTTGAGCGTCGTTGCCGACGATCTTCATGATGTGCTACACACCATAGGGAAAGCAGAGGCTGTTACTTGAGCGTTGATTAATTTATAGTGGTAGTAGACTTTCAAGTATCTACCGCACTCTCTCTTCAAGGTAAGGTCGATATCAAGACAGTCATAAAGAGTGCAGGTGTCTGGCGCGGCGTGAGCTGGCGCCTAGGCATATCACAACACCCCCGTATGCCATTTGTTAAAAGTGCGTCTCTCCAATACCGTTTTCGTTGCCCTAATATGCCTCATGTTGGTTCAACGCATCTACAACGCGGGACCCGTTATAGGGGGCGATCGCGTTCTACTCTGCGTTATGGTGAACTGTCCTGATTGTAGAGTGCGACGTTGTAGACCTGAGCCTTCAAATGTTCTTGCATGATTAAAAACAAATAACAAACATAAAATATGCCCTCAAAGACCGAAATGCCCACCCAAGTTGCGATCGTCTTTGTGGGTTTTTTCTTCTGCTATTGCCGTTACCTGCTAAACCCCCAGTTTAGAAGGCTAATGCAAAATTGATCAATCTTCCCGACCACAACCGATGACTTTTTTTGAATAGTGAGAATTTGAATTACTACACTACGATTGGAGTGCCCCATTTCATGTTCCGGTGAATCTAAATCTAGGGCTGTCCGGTGACCACTAATTTGACAGAAATTGTAATGCAATTTGTCTTGCCCCTTTCGGCAAACCTGTTACCCGTGAATAAATTACAAGACACGGGAATAGGAACGTCCAGGCCAAATAATAAAGGTGACGCTTTATATAATTCCAGGAAGGCTAAATATTCTCCTGTCCTAACTCAAAAATTATTAATAACATTAATCTAATTCGTAACCCTAATATTAACCTTAAATTCACCCCAAACCCTTATCTAATAGTTATCAAACACGGTACGGATTCCGTATGGGGCCGCCTATAGATGACAATTAATAATAAAAACCTACTTGCCACTTTTAAGTAGCCCGATTTTTCATAAATTGACCAAACATCGGGCTACGGAACAGTGGTAGGTATTCATTATTGAAAATAGCCTATTAAATATTGAACGAAGGCATTTAACTGTACCTGCTATGCTCTGCTTAGCTTCACTCTCCGCCTTTGCCTTCATGGAGCCCTCACCCGACGGGTGACAGTCTACCTTGCGTTGCTGCCACCTGTACAGTCCTCAGAAAGCTTTCCGCTGCTCCCCACAGCCTATGTTTCCTCTCCGCCCAAAGCGGCTTGTCCTTGCGTAGTACCTAGCCCACATCCCGGGCATACCCACACCCCCTCCGCCTTCAACCCACGCGTACAGGTGGCTTACCCAATGTCCCCCTCACTTTGCCTTCCAGTTTCCCGTTGCCCACCTCCCAACATACACCTTCGTCACCTGTCTATAGACACCATATGCTACCTGTTACCATCGAGCCTCCCCGCATACCCCTTACTAGGTAAAAACGACCGGCCTCCGCATACTTTCGATCATAGTCACTGCTGGCCGGCAACAATCCATATGCCTATGCTTAATTACCGCCAGACCTCCCAGCTACCACGCTGGTAGGCTTTAGAACAGTCGACCCGTCCGGCCCTGTCAAACAACGGCATTCTACTCTAATCGAATTTTCGCTTGTCCTTCACCGGCAGGTCAGTCATACCCCTGTCAACAGCCGACCTACTCCGCCGCGTCCTGCCCACGTTCATTCATCCTAGGATTACCCGCGGTCTGGTCGTGTTGGTTGGTTGGTAGCCCATGTTGGATCAGGGGTTCCCGCCGGAGTCCA